CCCTTCGATGGTGCCGTCACAACTGATCCTGAACACGTTGCATCACCACCTTCCAAGGTTCTAAAGAAAACTTTGCCCACTGTTTTCGTCGCCTGATTGTTAGGGCTTATAAGCCGACTTTGTAATGTAAAGTTATCGGGTGCTGTGGGTTCTATAATGGTAAGTGGCTCATGGATGTTGACAAGTGTCTGTGAGAATGGTTTTTCAGATGTTGAAGAGAATGAAGCATTATTTCGTAGATGTTCTATTGGCTTCGCTTTACGCATCCTCTCAGGAGTCCAATAGCCAATAACTTGTTCTTCCCATGTTGTGCGAGAAGAGATTTGCAATCGAGATACATCCCAGAACATGATTTCGGAATTTACTCCTTCACTCTTCCTAGTGAGAACAGTCGCTAGCACCATCAATATTATCAGACGAAACGAATCAGCCATGCTTTTTCAGATGAATTGACGCAGATAGTCGTCGAAAGGAGATATAATTTCGTAGGGTATTCAGTGAATAATATAATATTATACAGTGAGCTTCTTTTGCTTTGCATTAGTGTTGTCTATAGCCATCACATTCGATCATGACTAAGCACTATGCTTCATTAACTTTATTATGTTTATCACAATAACAAAAGCAGTAGGCTTTTTCTCCATATAAGGGACTCTATTTTATATTCGATACACAATTTTCTCTGCTTCTATTGCTTAGCTTATTGTAAATGTGATCGCATACAAAAAGTCAGCAAAGAATGAAATTTTACGTGACCAATAGTTTAAATGTCTTTTTATTTCGTTGATCCAGTAGCAAAGTGAAAACCAAATACCACATCTTCTACACTCGCTTCCAATCTGTCATGCTTATTCATTTACCAATAAACTCTCAAGTCAGACAAATGTTTTTTCTTTTCGTTTTTATAATAACGCACAAAATAATAAATGATAAAGAAAAGAGAAAAATAATATCAAAGAAAGAAAAAAAGAAACAATGATGAAAACAATAAAAGATGAATGAACAAAATAACAATAACGCTAGACCTTTCAAATTTTTCCTTATCTAGCGATTATACTGTGTGTAAAATTTTCAGTATTCTTCGACATGTCGAACGCCATGGATATGAAATTTGATGAGTAATTAGTACTCTTGAATAATTTATCAACATTATCATTATTGTTGTTTAAAAGAAGGTAACTAAATAAATAACTAATATCGCGTTTTGATGGTTTTTATCATCTATTATATTTTGTCTGTAATGTTCATAGTGCTCATATTGATAGAAAATCATATTTTAGATGAATCAGTTTTTTAAATTTTTGTTAAGTATGTGGATATGGATGGTGAACATTGTTTGTATAAGATCAGGTGTTGTACTTGATATCAGTATACAATTGATATGTACTTGCTATCGACATGTAATTGGAGAAGTCGAAAATAAAACAAATCCAAACAAGAAGATTATTTGATTGAAGAAGAGAAAGTACAAATCGACAAAAACAATATTTTGTGGACGTGAAGAATTGTAAAAGTTCATAGGATAGAAAACAATTATTTTATTCATCATTGTTGTCGTTTGCACGTTTGTGATAAGACGTATTCTTTTTACGTTCTGAAATGTTCATTACATATATAAGCTAGTATACATACATGCAAGTGTTTTCTCATGTGTAACTGTATTTGTGACAGTAAGACGAAAAACAACAACAAATAATGATGGATTATGAAATGTACAGCAATACGACAAGAATACAAAAAGATTTGTTGTGATGGAATCGAAATTTAACAGAAAATACAGCAACATGGAGAAAACGAAAGATGAGCAAAAAATCATTATCATTTTCAAAATGTCATTCTAGACATCATAATGAAATAAATTTTGATCAACATATGGATGTTTATCATAAAGATGATTTTGATTTTCAAATAATAAAGCATAACAGACAAAGCAAGAAAAGTCTTACAAATGATAAAGATGAACACACTCAAGCAAGAACAATAATCAATTCAAAATTTTATACTGATAAAAACTTACGAACATCAATATCATCATTAAAGAACTACAATTTAAATGATATTGAAATTCATATGTTAAAACATGCTTTAGATTATGCAGTTGAATATTGTTATTAACCAATCAAATTTGAATGCAATCCAAAAATAAAAGATCATCGTGAAGGATCCAAACCTATTCAAGCATTCGTTAATTATATGAAATCTATTTTTTTTTCAATCAAAATACATCATTTATGAACCCACCTTTATTTGATATAAGGTAGATTGATAAAGAAGGAAATATTCAAGCATGTGTTAAATCTACTGAATTAGCTGCTTGTTTATTAAACGTAAATCGTTATCCAAAATAATTAAATAACGTCAAAATTATACCACATCCACCAAAGAACTTACCATTTCAGTAAACTTCAATATTGAAATGGATTAAATATTCGACTTGCTATGAAGATGTAAAAAAAGAAATAGCAGCTGAAAATAAATCAATATTTTTAATAAAAGAAATTATGGGTACTCAAAATGATCGGAATCGCCATGTACGTATTGAATTATTGGATAAAAACAATATAGATCAATGTTAAACAATGATAAAGTTTCTATTTTTTGTCATTTATGTGATATAGATGAATTTCTACCACCATCTGAACGGTTAATATGTCATATACGTAATCAGCCAAGCCGTATAAAAAAATTGTATAAAAGCTCCAGTTTCCATATTCGTAGAAGGCTCATGTAATGATTGAAATAATGATGAAAATCATAAAGAATGTAAAAATACTTGTCGTCATTGTCAAGTGGAACATATATCTATTGATTCTAGATGTCATTTTATAAAGGACTATCATCGTCGCCTCATTATTGAACGATGAAGACGTCCGAATCTTTTACTTTATAATATGCCATTATTTACTCCATCCGAATATCTTAGTTCAGGAGAAAGAACGAATATTATCTAGCATGAATCATTTCGTCATCAACGACAACAATTAGAATAACAACCTGGATATATCAAAAATGACCTAAATGCATGACCAAAAGAGCGCTTCATTATCAAAACACGAATATAGAACAAATAACAATAACAAATCAGAAAAATTAAAATGAAACAATAAAAACGATTGGTACCAAACCAAAATTTTTAAGAATCTTCAGGAGGAACAAGGGAAAATCGAACGAAAATATAAAGATACCTTAATATAGTTAATCAAAATTAGTTAATAATATAACAAAAAATTCAAACAGGGTTCCAAATTATAACAATTATTAGCAATGCAATTAGTCAAACTTTATTCTCAACATGTCAAGAAACAATGAATGTAGTATATACAGTTATAAATAAAATTAAATCGCAAACAAAACTAGCTGCTTACGATGATATTCTCAAAGAATTATCCATACAAACAGCATTGATAAATGGTACTCAATCATCATATGAAAATCATCGATAATCCCTCGAAACAATTATTAAATAAACAAAATGAAGCACTTGGTTATGCATTAGATTTTTTATCAGAAAGTTTGAATGAATAGTCCAGATTTCAAATATTTTCCTCTTACGTTGAATATAGACTCAATTAATCTTTTTAATGAACACCAACAACAAAATAATATTCTTTCTTCTATTTTTTCGTGAGTGGATTATCAAATGTTCTATTTTGACCTGAATGAAAAGTGACATAAGTTAAGACCAAAGAGTAATTTAGAAAACTTGACCATTCTTTTATGGATTTGCAAGGGTTTTAGTACTCATCTAAATGACGTAGATATTCTTATAGTGTGAAGGTAGTTAACCACTAATCCGTTGTAAGTCAGAAAGAAGTTGTATCTTTTCACGTATGCACAATCAACTTTATTGTAACAAGCAATAGGTATACATATACATGGGCTTGAAAGCACAAGGAATTTGCTAAAAGGTACTAGAGAATCTTGAAGAGAGCATACAAAATCCATAAAGAGAACGAAAATAAGTCTACTGGAAAATATTTGAAATGAGGGCATATATCCATTCATGCATGATAGCAGAAGAAAAGAAAATATAGATAGAATGCATATATATGTGATGATGTCACCTAATAAATGAAACTTGTTTTGACAACGATATATGTATATGATTCATTCAAATGAGTTCATCTTCAGGCAATGGTCGAATCAATGATGGATATGAAGAATATACTCGTCTATGTTTCCAACACATCAATCCAACTATCATGTGCGGCCATGTTCCAGCTAATATTAAGAGTGATTTTGATCAACCGATTAATTATTTCCGTCGTTTACTGAGAATATTACCTATTGACTATGGAAAACGATCCAACATTTATTATTATTTAGGACGCATTTATCGGTTTCTTGAGAAATTCGATAGATCTCTCAATTATTTTCGATGTGCTCGATTACTCGTTTACTATTTGCTATTGGACAGAACGTGTGATTGTTGTCGTATTCTAAGTGCAATGGATACTGTCTATTTACACTTAGGAGATTCAGAAAGGGCATTAAGATTAATTACACAAGCTTTAATACTTCAAAAGAAATTACTTCAGGAAAAATCATACACAAATGCCATTTCATTTGAATAATCTTTCTCATGCATCTTTCGAAGCCAAATCATGCGATCGTGCATTGTCGATTCTCGATGGTGTTGCGAAATTTTGTGAAACAGAAATGCCTATTGAACTTCAAGGATACGTCGAAACTTTGCATATCATGGGTTTAGTGTATCGTGCTCCCCATGATGATAAAAAAAGCATTGATTTATTTTCACGAAGCATTAAGCAAACGATATTCATTGATTGATATATATTATCCTTTGCTTGCATTTGCTTATTATCAACTTAATCTCAAACATAATGATCCTGTTGATTATGAGCTTGCACTTGATTATGTTTAAAGATCCTCAAATATTCAATTGACCACATTGCCACACTATCATTCGGAGGTGAAACTATCAAGAAAACTTCTTCGATGCTTCAACAACATCACTAATTGTTTCGAATTATTTTTCTTTCGTTTAGATTAGAGTTCATGTTCATCTGCTAGCTGAAGGATACTTCAGTGTGTTTAGTGATTATTCTCAATTGAATTAAATCATCATCCTACACAACAGTATAGCCACGCTGGTATTTTTACAGTCGAAGTCGAGACAGAAATTATCGAAATGGTTGTTTCGTCAATATATGCAAATAATTTGGAGTGTGGATTTATATTTGTTCTAATAGAACATCCCCACTTTCACCCATACCCGACACCCACACCAACACCTACATCCTGGTTTTGCTTGTTACTAAGAATCGCTATATAGTTAACTATTTCATCAGTGAATGTGGAATGTTGTTTTCTTTTATAATCAGGCAACAAATTGAGCTTAGACTGATAAGCATGATGAACTCATTGATTACGTTGGTTTTCGTACATTTTCCATAGGTGTGCTGTGTTCTTGGAATCTCGTCAGTTGAAATTTCAATCAAACAGCAATCATAGAACAGAGGAAAATAAACAGCTAAATATTTATTTACTTATTTTTTTCTATCGATTATGTTTTTGATGACTCAATTTATCCTTTCGAAAGTCCATACTTTATTGTCAAGAACATTGCTACGTATGATTTTACGATTAGTCAAATGTGTGTCATCTCATGAAGCAGCGTATTGGTTATGAAAACAGAAATTTCATCATCACACTTGGTAATTATGCAAAACTGTTGAAATTCTTTTGTCTTTTTCTTCTTTATATGTTATAATACTTTGATCATATAATAGCTCTTTCTTCAAATCTCAATATCACGAAGTGGCGTTTATCAATAAGCAAAGAAAAGGCTCGGATCAATATAATCGTTATTGGTAGTGTTCATTCGGGCAAATCAACACTTTGCCTATGCATATGGAAACATCAGTTATCAAGCTGCCGCTAATTAACGATAAAACATCTGCTACAGAAATACTAGTGCT